GGTCCCGCGGCTGCGACCCCGCGGGGAAGGGACCCCCGGGCCGGCCCCGTCCGGCACCGCCGCTGGCCCTGCTCGGCCACCGCCCCTCGGCCACAGTTTTAACATCATAGAGCCAAGATTTAATCCCGAGCGCCGCAAGCTCCCAAGTGCGGGGGATTTCCATACACTTGGAATTAGCATTCGAGGCTAAAAAACAAGTCATCCAAGACGAGAAAGGTTCAGCACTACAAAGAACTAATCCTACGGCCTGGACAGCGAGAACAAAGCCCGAGGGTGTCAAAGGCCTGTCAGAGAGGCTGCAATTGCAACAGAAGGACGCGAGATGGCAGCGTCCGTGAAATAACTACAGCGGCCCACAGGCCACGGGCACCGATGGGGTCGGACCGGGCTGCTCAGGGAGGGATCCAGTCACGTTTTGAAACAGGATTTTGGGTCCCAAAAGCACAGCCCTATGTTTGTGAAGCTCCGAAAAAGACCAAGTCCCACAGTTTCAGCCCTCGAAGTGCAGGTTAAGTCCTGCTTTGTCCCAGGTCCAAAAAAGAAACCCACCTAAGTGCTGTGCTTTTAGGGCTCAAAAGCAGAGGGTGGGTAGTGCTTTTCTGAAGCTCAGAAAAAAAACTAAGTCCGCGGCGCTGTCCGACGAAACGGGCGGGACTGCGGAGGGAAAGGGAGCGCGGAGCGCGGCCCGCACCGAAATACCCCCGAAATTGCAGGAGGAGCGCGAACCGAGTGCACCACCTGGCGAATTCCAAAAAGTCCTGCAGGGAACGCCCTCAAGACGTGCTGTGGCTGCGGTTCCTGGCTTTATTTGCGAGGGGGAGATGTTTGGGGGCATTGCGTCTGCAGTTCCAGGTTCTTTTCACCGGGGAGAAATGTTTGAGGATACTGTGCCTACAGGTCCGGTGAGATTTCGGCAGGAATCGCCCTCGGGTCACTCTCAGCCTGCAGTTCTGGGTGGCATTTACTGGGGGAACCGTCGGTACTTGCACCTCCTGCAGTACTGGGCAGAATTCGTCAGGCGGCGCCCTCGGTCCATCGGCTGCGAGATTCCACCCGATAGTCCGGGCTCCACGTGTCTAGAGAATTGATTTCCCTGGATCCCACCCCCATGTCTGCAATCCATAGGAACTCAGCTGTTTCCCTCCTGTGTCACAGTGTCTTCCAGCTGCCATAAAGACAGAGCTCTGCAGCCAAGCTGCAGCACTTAAAGTAGCATCTTAAGCCTCAGTGTTGATGTGGTTTGGAAAATTACTATACAAGAGCTTTTGGGCCCATGCTGAGTAATAGTCCTTGTATTCCCAGGCTCTCTTTTGGGCTGTGGCTTTCCACAGCTGATATTTTTTGTCCATCTGGGCTGGTTTCTGATGGCCTGACTTTCCTTTTTCCCTTGTAGAGTCTGAGTTGAGAAGGAAGAGGACTAAGCACACCTGCAGCTGTACCCAAAGCTGCACAAGTACAGAGTGTTCTTTAACCACTTCAGCGCTGCCCAGTTACCTGCACGTTTTTCCAGTTCCTGCTCCCTGTGGCAGGCAGAGCCATTCCCTGCCCTGCCCACCCGTGCTGAGCCAGCAGGTCCCTGCACCCCCATTTGTGCTGAGATAACTTGTTTGGACACCAGGCCCGGCTTCTCTGGGCCACACCATCCCAGCCCGGGGCCACGCAGGCCAAGGACAGGCTGTAAATGTCACCCTTTGTACTCTGCCGTGTCCACTTCAGCTGCAGTCGGATTTGGAACCGAGATAAAAGCAGGGCTGTTCTGCTTTGGAGGTGCAGGGGAGTTTGGGGCTGGGGAGAAGGGTTTCAACCTGAGGAATTTCTTACATCTCCTATTCCAGATGCTGTAGGTTCATTTTATGCTCTCACAATTAGCTGGCACCCAGGCTTTGCTTCCCAGCGTGTTGTGTTGGTAACAAACATACGTTGCAGCCCCTACAAACAGCACTCCTTTAAAGCTTTCACACTTAAATTTGGGCTGCAGATCCCCCTCCCAATATCAAGAACCGCCCAGGATGAAGTCTTACTTCCTTCCTCCCTCTTAGGGGTAATAACTACTTCGCTCCAGAGCCTCTAGAAGGACATTCATTGCACTGAACGCACTAAGTGGAAGGGCCTCTCCTGGAAATGATCCTCACCACACTGCTTTGCAGTTAAACACCACACATTTCCCTCCTGCAAAGGAATGTTCACTGTACACAGCCCAGTTACCATCCCAAGAGTGGCAAGGGTTTTCCAAGGAAAGTGAAAAGCAGTTACCCATCCTGCTGAGCACGCAAAGGGGCGCTGGAGACATTGAATTTAGAGGGTTCAAATGGGTACCCCATCCCTGGAAGTGTCCAAGGTCAGGTTGGACGGGGCTTGGAGCAAGCTGGTCCCTTCCAACCCAAACCAGTCTGGGATTCTGTGATGATCACATATGTGGAAATACAGTCCTTGCCCACCTACCTCTGTATTACCAATAACTGCAGCTCTCCCAAGCCATTCTATCTCCAAAATTTTGTCTTTTTATCCTGCTGATGCTTACAGCATACTTCTAAAAAAAAAAAAAATCAGTAAAACATCTGTATTAACCAGAATTTCCCCCTTTATCCTACAGTTTCGGAGTTGATTTTCTTCCAAATTTCATAGACATTTTGATAGTAATCATCAATGCTGCAAAAATGTTATGTGTGTGGGGGTACATCACTCAGCCTTTCTCCATGACTCCTTGGGAGCTGGGAGCAGGAGAGAGCTTGTACAGCAAGGAGGCAATGCAGAAATATCAGGGTAACAGCTGAACTTGGGATTTTTCCAGTCACTAATGTGTTCCAAAGTCATTTTCTGCACAGCAATCACCTTTAAGCAATCTCTAAGTAGAGATAAGTGTGCACAATAAAAAGCCCAGCATGTTTAACTTCTTGTGTGAGGTGTGATAAGCAGAAAATGTCTATTTGTCTAAATTTCAGGGGGAAAAAAATCCTCAAGGTCCTTCCTCTGCAACAAGGTGGTCAGTTCATCATCCTGAGCATGTCTAATTATTGTGGGAGTATTCTCAAAGGACTAATGTGAAATCTGACAGTAAAAGGGTTTTGATTAACCAGGAATCATCTGGGAGAGTATAAAAGTACCACCCTCCCCTTAATTCTTTCTGCCTTTCACAGATGAAGCAAACTCACCCCAGGCCCCTGCCAAAATCTGACAGGATGGACTGGAAAACAATCATTTATGTCATTTTATTGGTGAGCCTTAGAGTAGCCAAAGCCCTGCCTAGAACTTCTCAGGACATAGGTAAGGACATCTCGTATTTTTCCTCTATTTTTTGTTTAACACTGCTGGCTGGACTCAGCACACGTGGTTATCTGGTGGCTCGCGTGGCCACAGTTCTTCATGGGGGTTTTCTTATGGGACAAAGGTGTACAGCAAAAGTGTACCTGGATAACTCTGGTGTGATCAGCCCCAAGTGTATTGCTTCTAATTCCCTGAGAATCTCTGCAGCGTGCAGGAGGGGAAGGGATTACTGAGAGGAAGTGTATAGAAGGAAAACTTGAGAGGAAATGTATTGAAGGGAAATTTTCCCTCCTAGAAACACTTGAGCTACAAAAAAAAAGGTATTTGATACAGCATTTAGTGAACACTTCTTATTCTAATGATCTTGTTTTCCAGAGGAAAAAACAAGCATTGGCCAACGATTTTCTCAGCTGCAGGAGAGCAATTTTAAAGCCATGTAAGTTGTGCAGGTAAAGCAAATTTGCTGCTACTGCACAGCCTTGTGTCACTGGGAATGAGCCCTAACCCTACCCCTCACCCATGCAGGACCGGGGTGGTACAAATCCTCTCACTGCCTCTCACCAGAGAGCTCTGTAAGTAGTTTGCAGGTGGCCAGGAACAGGTTTAACACTGTGTGTTCCCCCCGCAGTGCCCTGATCCTGTTTGCCCAGTACGTGCCGGGAGGGACGTTGGGCAGAGCGGCCGCGATGGCCGAGGGGGTCACGGCCCTGGCCAGAAGGTGTGCGGCAGCGGCCACCGACAGCCCCGACTGCCTGAAGCCTCTGGTAAGCTCAGTTATGCTTTCCAGGGATGGCTTGTCATTCCAGAGCTCTGGCATGAGTTCTTCCAGAGGCACGAATCCATTACCGAGAGACGTGACCTCCTTGCACACGTACACTTGGCTCATGGACTCTCCTTCTCCCCTCTCTAAAGGTGAACTTCTCATTTTTCACAGGACAGGATTTTCCTCGATACAATATGCCAGGAGGAAAACCTTCCCCGGTCTGCTGACTGCTGTGCTAAAAAGGATCCCGAAAGAAATGACTGCTTCCTCTCCCTGAAAAACTCCTCACGAGGGTTCAGCTCTCCTTTGGAGAGGCCGGATGCTGAAGCTGCTTGCAGAAACCATTCACAGCATGGACAGCCATTAACAGGATAGTAAGTAATAAATCACAGATTGGCTGCCTGGATGTGGCAGCTATGGGCTGGGGACAGCAAATGCAGCAGCAACCAGAAAGTTCTGCCTCTCTCATAATGATTTTTCTTCTAATGTGAATTATTTGCATAATTCAACCAGCAGTAATTGCTGTTCTATAAAGCATGTTCTGCCACCTCCTGCTTTGACTGTATCTCCCAGCGACAATCAGTCTGGCCTGGTTTATTGTATTCTATACAAAGGACTCACCTGAAACCAAGGGCCTCTCTTTAGTCCTTAGAAGCCAAGCAGGAGTTGTGCTGCCTCTAAGACAGAACTGGCAGGATTTGAGACTTCAATTTCCAGGAAAACGTTGGCCCCACCAGAATTTTCCAAGATAAACACCACACGGTGCAGCTGTTTGTTATGTCAGGAAACCAATAACTTTAGTGGCTTTTATAATCTTATTACTTTTATAATTATGCTATCAACTTACCCTGAGACTAAAGATGTTTTGCTCTGGTTTCAGTTTTATCTATGAAGTTTCCAGAAGGCATCCCTTCCTCTATGCCCCAACAATCCTCTCTGTGGCGCTGCAGTATGAGGAGATGATGGAAAACTGCTGTGGAAGTGCTGAAGGCCCCTCCCATCACATGGAGGAATGCTTCCAGAGACAGGTATTCCACCACAGAATTTGAGGTTATTAATGTGTAGCTTTGCTACAGCTACACAGATACTGAGGCAGATATATCAGCATTTCTTTTTCAACATCTGAGCCTGATACTGGAATTCCCCTCGTTAAGCACAAGCTGAAATCAGGCTGCTCTGGAGCACCCCCTGTGCTAAAAGCACTCAACTATTGTCTGAAGGGTTCTGCTTTCTTTTCACAGAGCACTTAATAAATGCTGGTGACTAACCAGCAAGTGCAACAGTTACATCTTGCAACTTGTACAGCTCTCAGCTTGTTTTCTCTCACTATTAAAAAAAAATTAAAAAATTAAAAACTGTCACCACTGTAGTTTCAGTTTCATTTTCTTCCAATTTTGTGGCTGCACCTTCTTTCTGCCAGGCACCGAAGGTGGTGAAGCTGATAAAAGAAGATTCCCTGAGGCAGGAACACACTTGTGGAATCCTGAAGAAGTTTGGAGAAAGGACCTTAAAGGCTCTGTGAGTCTTCCCCATGTTTATTATTATTTTGAAATAAAGCTGTGTCTCCACAGTGACTCTGAGTACCAGCCCTCTCCTGTTTATGTGCAGGTCACCAGTAGCATCTAACAAGGAAGACAGAGTAGAAATTCAGATTTGTGTGTGGCAGCATCACCATTTCCTTATGAACTGTCAAGAGATTCCAAAATCTAATCCCAAAGTCTGAACCAACCACACCTCTCTATGATCAAAGTTAGACAACCTCTCCACACAAAAAATGATGATAGCTAGCACAGTCTCCCACTGTGAATATAAACAGTAACTATTTTCCTTCCTCGTAGGAAGCTTGCCCAGATAAGCCAAAGATTCCCCAAAGCTGACTTCGTGACCGTTCACAAACTGGTGGTGGCCGTGGCCGACATGCACAAGGACTGCTGCCGCGGGGACACGCTGGGCTGCATGCGGGACAGGGTAAAGCCCTTTCACACTCGTGTGGCTGCAGACATTTCATGCCTTTGTTGTTGCAGGGTTCAGATTTTCAGCTTCCCTTTCTCGTGCACAGGAAGAGATCCTGCGCTACGTGTGCAGCAGCCAGCACGTCCTGTCCAGCCGGATCCAGCAGTGCTGTGAAAAGCCCCTGTTACAAAGGAGCGAATGCATCCTCCACGTGGAAAACGATGACAAACCTGCAGGCTTGTCCCCCCACGTCAGGGAGTTCATTGAAGACAAAGGAATATGTGAACGTTTTGCCCAGGAAAAAGACATGCACTTAGCCAGGTAACACAGGGCTTCCTCTGTGAAATTCTCCCTGTTCCACCGGACAAACCCACTCTGAAATCCTCCTGCTGTCCTTCCCACCCAAGGGCAGCTGTTTTGGCTTCTCCCTAATTCCTGATCTTCCTCATATTGCAGGTTTCTGTATGAATATTCCAGGAGACACCCGGAATTTTCTGCCCAGATGCTTCTCAGGATTGGCAAAGGCTACGAGGACCTGCTGCGGGAGTGCTGCAGCCCCGGGGCTCCCAGTGGCTGCCGCAGCAGAGGGGTGGGTGCTGCTGGGTCCTCGGGCTCCTCACAGCACATGGAGGGGGCCAGGCATGTCAGGCCGTGACTAAAATGCCAATACCCCTGCTCCACCTCCAGAGTCACAGCTCCTGTAACAATCCCAGCAAATCCTGCAAAGCCTGACTGATTCCCAACTGGAAAAAGCACCACAGAGCCCGTGCAATCTTTAATTGCGAAGCAATTTAACACGGACAGATGGAGATAGAGGGAAACGGACGGAGCTAACACTTCTGCGGGCCCTGCTCCTGAGCAGTGCCAGTTCCCTCTCCCAGATGTAAAGATGCTTATGGTCACTGTCTGAGATCAGGACAGTGGCCCTATAATACCTGAAGTCAGGAGCTGCCCGGTGTCTCAGACACGGCCTTCCAGGTCATGGGGAACGGACGTGGACATTTTACCACATTCGGGCAGTTTACAGGGGTTTCAGACGGAAATGGCATTAGAACCAGGGGGTCCATATCAGGTGAGAGACAGCTGTAGATACTCAGGACATTCCGCATTCCCCTTCCTCAAATTCATTTGTTTTTTTTTTCAGGAGGAAGAACTGAGGAAACATATTTACGAAACGCAGAGTGTCATGAGGACAAGCTGTGACATTTACAAGGAGAAAGGAGATTACTATTTCCAAAACGAGTATTACTTTTTCCTGCGCTTCCTTACCCTGCTCCCACTGGGCACAGTCCTGGGGTAACACCACACGGCTCACACAGGCCAGGCTAAAGGCACTGCTGCAACATATGGCTTCACACAAACAGGGCAGCCTCACACCTGCCCACCCGGACTTAGAAACACCAGGCTTAGTCCTGTCCTTGTACTAAGGAGTGTTTCATGGGGCTTGGCTGGAGCACTCCACAGGGAAGGCAGAGGCTGCTCAGTACTGCCTGGTGAAACAAAACCACCAACATGACAAAATCTGTCATTTCAGGCTCCTCATGAGTTTCACCAAGAAGATGCCTCAGCTGACATCGGCGGAGCTGATCAAATTCACCAAGGAAATGACAACCATCGGCTCCAAATGCTGCCAGCTGGGCCAGGACAAGCTGCTGCCTTGTGCCGAGGAACACGTGAGTGCTTCCCTTTGGTATCTGGGTCCTACTTTTTGCTGAAACTCTGCCAGAAATTCTGCTGCTGGTCCCTAAAACCGCATATAAATGTTCATTTGCAAAAATCCCAGCTGGTTCTGCACTGACAGAAGTCAGCATTAAGTAAAAATATCAAGTGTTCTCTATCCTTCAAACCAGGTTTAACTTAAATTCCTCTCTTCCTAACTTCGCTGTGAGCAATGTGCATTTCAGGGATTCTTGAACATGAAAAAGTAACATAACATTGTTTTTTTCATTCTCTTGGCAAAGCTGGATCTCGTGCTTGGGGAAATCTGTAGGAGACACCTGGCTGATCCCATAAATCCCGGAGTTTGCCGCTGCTGCAGCAGCTCCTATGCCTTCAGGAGGCCCTGCATAGGCAAACTGGAGATCGATGAGAGTTACGTGCCCTTAGCACTGACTCCGGGCCTGTTTGCTTTCCATGGAGACCTGTGCACCTCGGAAGAGGAGAAGTTACAGCACAGGAAGCAGGAGTAAGACATGCTGGTTTGCTGTTACCCCTGGCACTGCTCACCTTCCCCATGCCCACTGTCCCGCCTTCTCCTTTGGAACACTCCAAAACCGGGCACCAATGCTTCATTTCACAGGGGAACAGGGCACGGCTTTGCTCCCGGCCAGAAATCCATGTCTGGGTGGTGAACAAGGATGAAAAGCTGTGGGAAGGCAGCGGGTGGGACCAGAACGGGCGTTTGCAGGCCTGGGGTGGAGGGAAGCTCCGTGAGCGCGTGCTCCCCTCCCACTTCCCAGAGCTCTGCTCTCCTGCAGGATGCTCGTCACCTTCCTCAAGTACAAGCCGCAGATCAGCCCCGAGCAGCTGGGCTCCGTCACGGCCGCCTTCACTGCCATGAGGGAACGGTGCTGCAGGGAGGCCAACCCCGAGGCCTGTTTCCTCAAAGAGGTATGGCTTCTGTGTCCAGCCACAGTTCCTCGGCAACAGGGAGAGAAAGGCTATATTCAGGTTCTCGCTCAAAGCCTTTTCCCTGTTTATCTCCCTGCCTCTGTTTCTCTCTTGCCTTCCCAGTGCTGTTTCAGCCCACTCAACTTCATACTCCAGAGCTGCTCTGGCTCCTCTTTACCCTGAGGTAAATCTGCTTTTCCCTACTTCTCACCTCCCCCTCTTTGCTGTATTCCTTAACTGAACTTTAACAAACCATCCTTGACCCTTAAGCCTTGTTCTCTCTTTTCATAGGTCTTTGCTTTAAAAGATAAAATACAGAAAATTTTCTTTTATTAATAAAGAATGCCCACCTCTGGATACACCTGAACAGCACAGGCAAAAAGATTCTACCAACTATTCCAACCAGAACTGTATTTTAGTATTTTTCCAACAAATAGCAAATCTAAGGCCACCTGAGCTGAGCAGCAAATGCAAAATGCATCCTGCACAGTGATAAATCTATCTGTGCTCTGCACACAGTGTAGTGCCCACCCTGCCGAGGTTATAGGACGGGACCTGCTGCTGCCACCTCACTGAACGTGTCACGAACACATCAAGCGCCCTCCTGACGCTATTGCTCACACGGATCTTCCTTTTTTCCAGGGTCCAGAGCTTATCAAAAGGAGTGAGAAAATGCTGTCAGCATAAGGAGCTGCACAGCCCATGGGAAGGTCCTCGCTGGATGACAGGAAGTGACACAAACTGCACAGGGAGCATTGAAACCAAACCAAGTGTCTGAAAGCCAGGTTAATCTAGAGGGAGGCTGCATGCCCTTAAGTAATTCCACCAAAACAATCAGTTAAGTGATGAAAATTCAGGTTTTGGCTGTGGCCACCATCTCCTGGTATGCAATCTTATTTTATTACCCCAAATAGTCACAGACCAAAACAAAGGCATTTTAAATCTTAAGCTTATAAAGCATAAGTGCAAATGAGATCAAATTAAGAAAATCTGCCTGTAACCATTCTAACTTAATCACTGAATAATTATTTTTGCATTTTTATAACACTGGCCTTGAACTACAGCACATGCACTCACCAATATGGGCTGCTCGGGAGCATTGTAAAGTTACCTTTAAACAGAGAAAAACATTATCTCTGGCATCTCAAATAAGGTGAGAGAGAAAAAAATAAGAAAAATGTCCCAAAAAGGACAGGAGAGGGACTGCTGAAACACCTGGTCAGCAGGGAAATGTAAGATCTCAGGTAAGATGTAAGCCTTTTAATGACTGTCTCTGTGATTAATGGCTTTGGGCCCAAATGCAAGAGGGACCCCCACTTCCTCTGTCACCCATGTGTCATTGCTGTGCTACCACGAATGTCCCACAATAATCTGGAATAAATTCTTTCCCCGCTCTTGTATTTGTCAGAAATGGTTCATTTAGACAGCACTGCACTCACAAAGAACCAACCCCACAACAGTCACAGCCTGATTTCACTCACCCTCCAATCCCGGGCGACTGCACCTGGTCTGTGCCATGTTCCAGAGCTATCTTCCAGCAGTTTTCAGTCCCAATTCAGCAGGATAAGGGAAATAAACAGTATTCAAGTCTTGAACATCAGATGGTGGCAAAAATAGCTCATTTTAGGAAGTGTGGACGTACACAGAGGGTTGGAGAACCTGCTTGAAAACACCTCCTCTTTTCCATATGGGCTGTGCAAGAAATTACGAATATTTAATATTCCAACATTTCCACTTGGGTGCACACTCTGCTGCTTCAAGGAACTTTTATTTGCAGCTCTAAGGCAGCTATTACTTAATGCCTACATCTTAACTGCTGAATTATTTTTATTTCTCCTCTCTGTACTCCCTTGCCCCTAATATTTTCCTAGGTAGGATTATAAACTGTACCCCCTTGCCCCAGCCAGAGCAGTTTCAATCAGCACATCGACCTCCATTTTTTGAATTCACATCCCAGTACCATGATCTCACGCAGTGTAAAGTTTTATAATTTGATTTATTCCACGTGATTTGTAGACAACACATTCTCCTCATTCATTTCCTCCCTCGCTATTTGTTACCTGCACAAGGCAAAGGCAGCTGAGGTAAGTCACAGATACCAGGTAAAACCAACCGGCTAATGCAGGAGGAACATCAACTGCACACGATTTATTTTATTTGCATCTCTGTAATTTGAGCTCCAATATCCAACACAACTCAACCAGACAGGGCCTGGCATTGGCTGCTGTGCCCTACCTGGGGCCGAGCTGGACCCAAACTGCATCCATGGGGAGGCCACGAGCCCAACCCTCCATGGCTATGACGTTCAGCCTCTCCCTGAGCACTTCTCCATTCCCTTTCAAACAGAAAACACTGGAAGAACCACGGAATCACTTACTACAGCAGCAAAAACTACTGAGATGCCTTCCAGGACCCACCTGTATTCAGTGACAGTTCTTCTTTTGCATTTCACAAGGTATTTCAGGGATAAACACCCTCTCGTGGTTAAGAGCTGAGCAGCTTGTATGTGGGAGGCTGCCAATTATGTTTTTTCTAACCGTAGCTCAAAGCTTAAGCAAGTTCAGCCTCTACCAACATGAAGCCAGTGGGATTTCAGGCATCTCGCGTGGATATTTTATAAGTTAAGTGAAAATCCTACCTGCTGTCTTAAATACATAAATACCTTCTGCCACTTGCCTCTACTGAAAAGCTTTCTGCTAGTACAATTCCACATTTCTCTAATAGAGGGATAACCATATACTTAATTTGCATATTTTCTATGAAGACAGTGGTTATTGCAATATTTTTCCTATGCCAGCCTCTTGGTAACGGGTTGTACATCAGCAGGGTTTAAAGCCTCGGGCTTTTCAGGGCATATTTTTCCCTAAGTTCCAAGCCAGATTCAGCATCTGTTGTTTGGGGGATGTAGTGCATCTCCTTAGGTGGTTCCAACCCGCATCCCAGCGCTGCAGCAGTGGGGGCAGTTTCGGCTGTTTAATGCTCGGGAGAAACTCCCTCACTCTGCACAGCCTGAGCTTGAAGGGCTCCTCAGTCCCAGCCCCCAGAACCAAGCAGCACAGCGACTGCCCCTCTGCACACCCAGGGGGGCTGTTCCCGAGGGGCCGTTCCCATCAAACCGTGGTCTCTGTTTTTCTAACAGTTCGACTGCGAAGGTGTTGCCGTATCAGGCGCTTCTCTTTCAGGTACCTGAGATGGAGGGGGAGAATGCATTTCAGTAACAGGATCCTGCAAAGATTCAACCCAAGTTCTAATGAGCTGGTCAAAGGGCAGTGAAAAGCTTCCCACTAGAAAATGGCAGGTGTTACTTATTATTTTTTTATATATTTCCTGTACACTTTGATTCAACATGATTATCAGCCCATCATCCATGGTACGGTACTGCAGCCTCTCACTGCTGTTGGCCTCAGGACCCAGTTGCTCACAAATACAGAAGCCTCTCTGGCTTGTCCCTATTGGGCATTTTGAGCTACTGTCACAGGAATTCCTGTCATTTACCACACGTTTTAAAGGGACATTTGGCACCAGTGTGGCTTAAATGCTACAGAACCGAAATAGTACCACAGTGTGTACTGCATTTATTCTTTCCAGTGGAATACACAGCAGCAAGTACAAGCTGAGGCTTGTAAAGGCTCAAGAAACAAACACAATAAACTGAAGTGACTCTGAGGGTCTAAACTTTCTGAAAAGACCCCACTGTGTGTGTAGTTAGTATTTATTCTGTAATCTTTAACAGAACAGCTGGGTATACAGCGCAGGGGAAGGATTATAAATCCCACCCATCTCTCCAGCAGTCCCAGCAGTGTTGTACCTGCACACTGCTACATCCACGTGTTCTCCTCATGAGCCAGCCCATCACTGTACAGATTCCCCTGGACTCAGTGACCCCCCCTCATTTTACTTCCACTTACCTTGCCATTGTCTGTTGAATCTCCTGCTTCTCCTCTTCATTTATTCTATGCAAAATTGATTCCAAAAAGGGAAGATGAAATGGAATGTACTGAGCAACCTACCAGGGAGAAGACAAGAAATGCACTACTATTCATGGTAACAGAGAAAAACCCCCTGAGCTACCAGAGCTGATGATATACGCACGTCACTGCTGATCTCTTCCACGTCCCCATCCATGAGAAAGAACTTGGCAATCTTCTCCGAGGGCCCCTGCAGCAGCCTGTGCAGCAAGGGGACGTCTCCACTCCTCAGCTGCTTCTTTTCTGGGATTTATAAGGAATGTCATGACACACAGAACACACCACAGGGCCTCTCTGTACCTCCTGCATTCAGGAACCTTTTTCCTTGACACAGATCAACCCTATCTGACTGCTGTGCAATTACCAGATACCTAACAGGTCCCTAATATTGTGCCATTTAAGGTACGTTCCCCCTCAGTTAGCTTCCACTCTTTCAGGCATTCCCTTTAATAAAGATCAAATCTCTTTTTTCCTAAAGAACTTAAACTGCTGTGGAAGTAAACATTTCCCACTGAAAAACGAGTACTTTGAACTCAGCATCTGTGATCCAAAACTCTCAGCTGACAGGGCCCACAACACAATCATTCCGCTTTTCCTCTCCAGAGGATACACATCTGAGGGGTCTCTGGAGAAGCCAAAATGCCACACCACACCCACACTGCCCAAATGAGGACAGAGGTCTGGGACGAGCCCTGTCACTCAGAGGTACACATTCCACACACACACACACACACACACACAGAGGATGATTAGAGATGAAGTGATCAGGTAGCAGTGGCTGGCTTACCTCCAGATGCATGGATAATGTAAAGTGCAAATTCATGGGGGCTGTTTTCTATCTGTGAAACAAAAGAAAATCCATTCAGACTCACAGACCTTCCCAGCATTTCCCTCTCAGCAGACACTCCCTATGTGTCTCAGCTCAGAGATCTGGATCAAAGTGAGACAGAGATCCTGTCTGGAAGAGTTTAAAGATGCTGGATTTAGATAAGACAGAAAGCTATGCTGCCATGTTCATTGTCCCCGTGCCAACCCTAATCCTTACCCTTCCATATTGCCCCAATCAGTAACACACTTAGACAAGCCCAGATCATTCTTGCCTGGTTTCCTTGGAGCATCCTGAACTACTTCATATCTTTTCATGTTACATGTAGATTTGCTACTTGTATCTTCATCAAGGTGAGACTCTGTGATCCCCGCCTACCCAACTTGCCTGACAGGCACACTGGGCAAACAGCAGAGCTTTTGAACACTTACTTTGCAACTTTTCCAGAACTTCACACCCCAGTCTGTAAGTCCATTCCTTACTACTCCTAGAAGTAAAGTTTTCCCTTCAGTATTACACTCCCAAGTCCCACTAACTACGTCAAGTAATTCTGCAATAGCCAAGTCTCTAGACAACTTAAATGAGACTTTTAACATAAATAAAGTAAAATTGTGCCCTACACAGCCACATAGAATAGAGATATTGGAGAAACATACAGCACTGATGGGAAAGGATTTCTGACTGGCTGTAATCATACTGGCGGAAGATGGTTCCAAGGTAACTCCAAGGAAAAAAAATGTAGTCTCAGACAGTACGGCAGTGACCCTGAGCAGTACTTTCAACTCTCACTTTCTGGACCTTTCCACCTGCCTAGGTCTAACAGGACCTATCTCCCAGACACGGGATTGAATTCCCTGTTAAGCAAACCGCAATTCCTGGGGATGTCCGCTGGAGGGCAGCACTGCCACGGGCAGTGACCAGCCTTTCCCTGCACTGGGAATGATGGAAGCGCAGCGGCGTTCGCCCTCCTGTGCGGGACTTCAGGGAAGGGGTTCTGCAGTTTCCCCTTCACCGCACACCATACACCCGGTGTAACTTTTATAGCCTCAAAGTGCCATGAAACACTGATAAAACAAACCCAAGCCATGCATTTCAAACGGCCCATGTGGGTTCTTTCACATTCCATTTCGTGCAGTATTCCCTGCCTTTCCTGCAGCACCGGAGTGCACACTGGAATGAACATTTCCAGAACACAGCCACACTTGCTCCTGCCAGGTTACCTTAAACTTGTGAAGCAGCTGTTCTATCACATGTCTGGTTCTCATGTGGCTGTTGATTCTTATTTTGGTTTCTGATCCAAAAGCCGGAGTG